CACACTCCAGTGATTAAAAAACCCCAAACACTTAAGTTGTTGGGTTGAATGTGGCAAAGCTGCGCTGCTCTGTTTTCATCAGGCCGTCCTTTAAATAAAGATCCAACACTGTTAACAGGGAGAACACGACACCACCTGCTAACACGGCCCGCAGACACATTAGAGTGTGTGCATGGGAGTGTTTGTGTGCACACCATTGATTCATCCGTGCAGCCATTAAAGAGGAAGAAAAATTAGCCATTTGAGTTAATTATTAAGCTCGTGACTGCCGACTCACACTCACAAAAACAACCTGTGTACACAACCGGCCGCATGTGAGTTTGGTGCATGCATGCATGTGTGTGTTTTTTTTTAGTAAATACACTTACTTGAGCACATATTCAACACAATAAAACAAATATAAAGACTAGAGGGACTATGACAGATGTATATATAGATATAAAACTTTGATCTGTGACTAGGGGTGGAACTCCCACTACCCACAGTATCCATTCTTGCATATGTAAGAAATAAATAGACAATTCTGGCACTAAGTGTTTGGATCACAGGAACACACAATGGAAGTCTCATACTGAACCAAAGGACGAACACTAAAGGATTTGGGATGAATTCACAAACTGTTAAACCCCCACCAGAGATGGTATGACACAAAGAAAACTTCTGGGATTCTGACTTTGACGCATTCAGTCACAGTCGCACAGATGGTCATTTCACATCAATGGCTCCTTAACCAAGCACAACCTCTGAATTTCTGAATCTTCCTCTGATATTGAGCATGATTACTGTTGCAACACATCATCAGCGGGGTAAAACTAACCTGTCTCTCTACACTACAAACCAGGCTCATGTTCCCTGTCAGTGGGCGAACTATCCAATGGTTGGTGAACATTTGGGCTTTTTAGGAATGGCAGAAGTGAACACTGTAAAGGAAAGCGGTGCTGGACTTAAAACAAAAGACAAGAACTATTTAAATTCAGTTATCTTCTTTTCATCAATCAAAGTCAAAAACAGAATTGAAACGAAAACTTGAATAATCGTCCTGTGTTCACTGCTGCCACAGAAAATTCTGGATTCTTGCAGGTTAGAAGGTGATTCTTTTCTTGTAAGATCTATGACATACTGTAGTTTCGTTTGCATCAGTATCAGACAATAGATTCACACCCACCACCATCTGCCATGTTCTGCAGAGCTTCCTTTAAATTACATTATATAGTATAGTAATGACAACTTATTTAATTAAGCTGACGATTTATTTAGTTCATTATTTTCATGCATAGAAAAAAAACATCCATCTGTCGACCTCGGAATCCTTCACTGTCGTGATTATTGGAGCAGCTTCTTGGATCCTGTGTTTAAATATGCACTCATATATCAGATGTTGTGTGAGCCAGAGCAACCAGCATCACTGGAGTTTCTCAAAGTATTAATCCAAAAATCCAGTTCCTGCTGTTTTTGCCCCTCTAATTACGTAGTGCTAATATGTGATATTATGACTATTCTTTTAACGCAGGAAGAAAAATCTGACTGACTGGGTCCGACCAGGGGGATGATTAGACTGACATTATGTGACTACAAATTTGGCGTAAAGGTTAACTAGTAAATACCAATAAAACTAAAATGAACAGAAATGTCAAAGGTATGTTTGTAAACTATGTCAACTTTCTATAGTTTGTCTACAGGAGGGTTTTATGTCTTACACTGTAAAATGTCTAGTCAGCTACGCTTCTTGGTTGACACCTAATTATTAAAAAAAAAAAAAATAAAATCTGATCAAACCAAAAACAACATTTATGCTATGAGTTGTATAAAAAATAATATCCCTGATCAGATTATTTAAACTATCTTATCTAAGCTTACTTAAATGCTGACACCAGTGTTTGTTGTGGCTGAATGGCTCATGCTTCCTCTCTTTACCTCTGCTCCAGAGACTCAAGGAAACGAGCAGAGTTCCATAAAAAGTGAATATTGGTGCAAAAACTGCAAGCTCCGTGCAGCTTCCACGAAACACCTGATTTGAACTTGAACCGTGTTAAACCGCTGCTCTCAGGCATGACTGTTTTGCTAACAACATAAGGGATTTCCATTTGGGGAAATACCTGCTGGGTGGCCTTATCACCCTGCACATTCAACTACATACCACAGTGGTGGATTACTCTGTGCACCACTGTGAGCAAAGTTGCAAGTCATTTCAGTTTAATGATCAACCGTATTTATTGGAAGTGGAGACACAGAAAAGGCATCAAATCAAGGGAAAGTCAAAGCATAGAGGATGGGGGGAGGGAGGTAGAAACAGAAAGACAGCAGAGTGTCCAGACAGATAATGTACCTCAGAGTTCCTGTGCTCACTCCTCTGCTGCTGACCGAGCGGCACAGAGGGGCACCTGTTGATGCCACACTTGGAAAATATCCAAGTGTCCATGGAAGAGAGTCATTTCAGCTGTGGACCTACAACTAATAGCATCACCATCAGCTGGAAGAAAACATCCACACTAGCTGGACCAAACGCTCAGCTCTCTATATGGTCAGTAAATTTACATTTACAACAAGTAAATGTCCTTTTATGTGCTGGATGTTGCATATGCTGCAAGCTCTCCAGCATAAACACATGCTAAATGGAAATCTATCTATAACCTCACACAAGTAAACATATCAGCATGTGCTAATTATTCCTCAGAATATTCTGCTGAAAACTGCAGCTACACTCGCCTGCCATTGTCCAGGAGAGGAGAATGCATCTCAAATAAATCTACTTCCTTCTTCAAATGGACTTTGAGATTTTCCGTCTTCCCTCTGTGAGCAGATAAAAGCAGACACATCTTCTGTACTCACACTGGATGATCTGCTACATCACATGAATCAGGTTTACAAGAAACCCCAGGGCAAAGAAAAAAAAACCAAACCATCAGTCAAGGTGTGGGGAACAAAACTCAGCAATTCCTCACCTACACACATGATGGGAAACTGAAAATCAGTGTTTTATCCTGATTGGATTTCCTCTTCATGTGATGCTGAGAGCTTTAACTGATCTGCAGATATACTGCTGAACAGAACATGGGGGCAACAGTGTATCTGCTCGAGTCACCTGATCAGTCTCAGGATGTGAAGGGAGTGAATGTTGGATGATCTGATGGCTTCAGTCACTGCAGCTGTCATGGTGGATCAATGAAATCAACATTCACACGGTGGCTCACGCTGTTTATCTTAATGCTTGGCTCAAATGAGTCATCCTCACACATGACTGTCATTAAAGCCAGCAGGCTCCGCTCACCCACCGGCCGGCGTCTCCATCACTGCCTGTGTCAGTTCCATTAACACAGCTGCTTTAAAACCCAGCGCTTGCTGAGCACGGATCACATGTTGTTCAGACAGCAGGAGTCTTCTTTGTGTTATTGTTGTTCATATATTTTTCCTTAAATTGAAGACAATTTAACTCCACATTGAAAGCACCTTAATGCCTATTTAATGGTCATATGAAATGATCCTTTAGAATAAGGATGGTTGAGCCTTCAACTATTTGTCCAGTACATGGAGAATTAAATGTAAACGAATTTACTTTAATCTACAATTAATCTGCTGGACATTTTTCTGAATGTTTAGTCTATGTAACATCAAAAAAATGTGACATTTGTGAACAAAAGGTGACATCAATTATCAGTTTTCTGTGATTCATGACAAAGAAAAGGAGCAAAAGTTCACATCTGAGAAGCTGTCAGAAAATGTTTGTCACTATTTTCTCTGGAAAAAGACTTTCTCTGTGAAAAAGTGTTGTGAAGGTCCGTTACGAACGCCTATTGTTTTATAGATAAACATTTCAGGGCTGCAGGGTGGCTCAGTGTTTAGCCAGTTCGCATCCCGGTGAGGACACCTGCAATCTTTTGCATGTTCTCCCCGTGCAGCGTGGGTTCTCTCCGGGTTCTCCGGCTTCCTCCCACACAATCCAAAAACATGTTGAGGTTAATTGGTGATTCTAAATTGTCTGTAGGTGTGAATGTGAGTGTGCTTGGTTGTCTGTCTCCAAGTGTGGCCCTGTGATAGACTGGTGACCTGTCCAGGATGTCCACCACCTTCACCCTAAGTCAGCTGTGATAGACTCCAGCCCCTCGCAACCCTAGTGAGGATTAAGCGGTGTATAGATAATGGATGGATGGATGGATGGACGGCGATTCATACGTTCTCCCCCCTGGATTAGCACAGGTCAGAGCACTGTTAGTTCCTCTTTTGACTCTCCATTTCTAACCTGATGTGTATTGTCGACAGCCCTGCACCTATACGATGTGCACATAACTCCCGTCTCCTTGGGATCACTGCTGAGAATCAGTAATCCTATTGTCTCTGTACAAAGTTTAGAAAATAGGCCATCTTCAAATTATACTCTGAACTACGGTTGCAGCTAGCATTGATGACTGATTACTGACTAATTTGTGTTTGATAAACTGTGAAAAAATCCCAAACACAAGTTAACAGAGGCAAATGTGTGATATTCCGTTTGTTTGTTTAGGTCTCAATATTGTCCCAAACCGCCAAATGTTTGACATCAGAGGAAAACTGCAAACAGTACGAGTCAATGAGCAGGGGATGTTTTTGTATTATAAATGACACCATCAGTTATTTATGGCAAAAGTTGAGTTCAGACATGGTTTTGGAAAGCAGGCTCCTCACAAAAGCCAATGACACAGTTTACCACAGAATTCACATGAATAAATAAAACCAATCTAAACAAGTTAAACCTTCTGTATGTTTAGTTTTGTGATCTGATCAGAATTTTCTTGACAAGACTTGTGAGTGATTTTGGGGTGAACCAGATGTGCTCTGTCCTGCTGCCAGCTTGTTCTGCTGCCTATTGCAGCTGAATGAAGGAAAACAGGTGTTGGTCTAAATCTATGACATGTCATGTATGAACTAGTGGATGTAGTACGGATCCCCTTTGGGATAAATGAAACTCTTTGGCTAACATGGCTGTACTCTGGTCAACAGTCCAGTATGGCTGTCATCCCTCTTACCTCCGAACAGATGAGGCGAGAGGTGTGCTGGTAAGGATCCTATCAGCAGCCGGGGAGCCTCCTGCCCTCCGCCTGAACGCTCCCTGTCCGCCGCCTCCTCCGGGCTGCTGCCGCCGGACTCCGGGGAACTGTAGGCTCCGCTGCTGTTCGGAATGTTGATGCCGGACTGGGGTCTGGTCCCGGAGCCCCCGGAGCCCCCCACGGACCTGGCCCTGGCTCCGAGTTGCTGGCTGGAGCTGGACGTGGCTCCGGAGGCTCCGGACGCTCCGTACGCGTGGAACCTCACCCCCCCGGCGGCGGTCCGGCCGATGTTACCGCCGTTACTGCTGGACGTGCTGGAGGGCAGGTCCGAGCCGGAGTAGGCTCTGGTCCGTCCGTTAGCAGCTGGATTAGCAGTCGGGCTGCTCTGCTTTGCCCCCATGTTAAGCTCCACTGATTCGGCTTTGAAATATTAAGGAGGCGCTCTGCGAGCCACTGCGGGACGGTGCGCCAGATTTCCGCCTGAGGCAGACGGCTCTACAGGACACACGTCCCGCAAGAAGAGAAAAGCAGAACAAACTCTGCGTCGCTATGATCCCATCGAGATCAGGGAAATGCCAGTGAGTGAAAAGTTGAAGCGGCCATCCGTGGCGAGAGCTGAAGACGTGTGGAAAAGTTTAGAAGCCGTCACCATTGTGCTCCGTCAGTAGCAGTTGTGGTCTGCTGCAGGTACCGAGGATCCTTCCTCGTTTGAGCCGCTCTGGGAGCCGCTGTGCTCCGGCCGCTGCTCCCCGCTCAGCGTCCGCTCCGCCATGGCTCCAGAGCTGCGACAAGGAGCGAAGAGCCGGGCTCCTCACACCTCCTCGCCTGACAACACATTGTTCCCCAGAAGGAAGTGATGGAGGAGAAAGTCCTGCACTGAACCGTTGTATCGGCGGCAGCAAGGAGACTCGGCGCAGCCTGCCGTCAAGTCAGCCGCACTGACGGGAAGTGTCGCTCCGACGCTTCAAAATAAGACCATTGCGGCGGTTTAAATTCCCTCCGTGTGGCGTTCACCTACATTCAACTAATGTCTTTCACACCACAACCCTGCAGTGAATCCCACGTTTACGACGATTGTAATTTAAAGTTTTTGTTTAAAAAAATAAATAAATAAATAAATAAATAAATAGATAACAATTTTAGAGTGTTGATTTGACCGAATGGATATGGAGATTGAAGATTGTGGTGTTGTTTAAGGATTTTCTGGTAGGCCTGGTCCTGGACTAATGGACTGGGTAGATACTGATATTAGGAGACTGACACTGATCAGCATTAATGTACTGAGCAAGGCCTGTTTTTCAAAAAGCATCTTAGGCTAAGATGAAATTATTGTATTTAAGAGGCAAAGAGCTTTGAAACCTCTGAAACCTGTTGCATTGAATTTTTGAATTATCATTTTTTTCTTGGTCCATTACTAAGTCAATACTTTCACCACAAACGCTAGGATGATTGATTTAAATGACCAAATAAAACTGAACGAGTACAAACACATTATTTCCGCATCTAATCTGCCGGTTTCTGTTATCGTCTTCTTGCCTGATATTAATCTTTTCCGGCCGAAATGTCACTGGTTTAGTTTCTTGTCTTTGCCCTTTATTTGTGCTGTGTGTGGTGCTTTTTGCTGCAGGCTTAAACACAGCAGGTCTGATACAGAAATAATCACAATGTGACATTAACAGGAGATGACAGACACATTCATGAAACTCACAGGAACTGCTTCATTTTAGGTTTAATCTGACTTTCTGGCAAAAACACCAATTATAATGTTAAGCAAGCTGAAGGTTGTAGATTGTTTACTGCACATTAAGCCTAATTTTCATACTAAAGAATTCAGCTTTGTGTCATTGGGATGCTCTTAAATACAGATACAGATAGCTGAACATGCAAAACAGCACATCCATCCATCCATCCATCCATCATCTATACACCGCTTAATCCTCACTAGGGTCATGGGGGGCTGGAGTCTATCCCAGCCGACTTAGGGTGAAGGCAGGGAACACCCAGGACAGGTCACCAGTCTATCACAGGGCTACACTTAGAGACAGACAACCAAGCACACTCACATTCACACCTACAGACAATTTAGAATCACCAACTAACCTCAACATGTCTTTGGGCTGTGGGAGGAAGCTGGAGAACCCGGAGAGAACCCACGCTGCATGGGGAGAACATGCAAACTCCACGTAGAAAGATCCCAGGTATCACCGGGACGCGAACCGACAACAGTGCTAACCACTGTGCTACCTTGCAGCCCACTTTGTTTCTTCAATAATAAAAAAAAAGAAAGAAAGAAAAAGAAAAGAAAATGAATGAGCAATACATACAATGTTTAATGAACATTAACAGTATGAAGACTGCACCATTACACGATTATGTAAGATAGTTAGGACACCTCGAATGTACGAGCTACATTTAAAATGATGTTGAGAGAGTTACATTTCTGACGACTGTTAAGCCAATGAAGACATCTGAAAATGTTATGATGCTAACCACTGCGCCACCTTGCAGCCCACAGCACATACAGTCAGTGTTTAAAATGTTTAAATGACAAGTAGTCTAATCAGTCTTCACACCTTAAGCCCGTTGCTTTTTCAGTCAGCAAAAGCACCACAACTGCAGGGATGAACTGAACAACATTGCTTACTATCATCATACACACTTTGTAGAGTTTTGAAATGCAATAAATCTTCTTCTCTTTATGTTCTCTCCATTAAGTGTGCCACACTCAGACATCTTCTCTAAATGACAGGAGGTTGCATTTTTTATAACAGACGCATCCATCTATCCATCCATCCATCCATCCATCTGTTATCCATACACCCCTCTGTCCTTTATCCTATTGCTGATACCAGGACTGGTAAAAACTGTTGCCTCGCAGCAAGAAGGTCGCCGGTTCACGTCCCGGTGGGGGCACCGGGATCTTTCTGCGTGGAGTCTCCATGTTCTCCCGGTGCAGTGTGGGTTCTCTCCGGGTTCTCCGGCTTCCTCCCACACAGTCCAAAGACATGTTGAGGTTAATTGGTGATTCTAAATTCTCCATAGGTGTGAATGTGAGTGTGCTTGGTTGTCTGTCTCTAGGTGTAGCCCTGTGATAGACTGGTGACCTGTCCAGGGTGTCCCCTGCCTTCACCCTAAGTCAGCTGGGATAGACTCCAGTTCCCCCGTGACCCTAGTGATGATTAAGCGGTGTATAGATAATGGATGGATGATACAGGGACTAAGCTGTCTCTACTGGTTCTACACTGTGTTGCACCTCTTTCATTTCTGACTAAATGCTCAACCAATTGCTCTCATAAAAATAAGGACATGTAAGTGTGCCATTAAAAAATAGGTGAATGCATAGAGTAAAAGCAAGTGCATGAGTAGGTTTCAGAGACCGATGTGGCACTATCAGAGAATTCTTTGAAACACTCTTGGAAAATGCTCTGAACTTTAAAAGAATAGTTATCAGTAGATGGTGCCCAGGACATTTTACAGCTGAACACATTTTGGACTCACACTAGTGAGTCTGCTGGTTGTACTTTCATGAAGTTAAAATTAGGATGTTAACATGGTCATCCACTCGATTAAATGAGTCAGTGGTGTCTAGTGGACAAACTTTGTAGCAACAACATATTCTGTTTCTCTAAGGTATGTTTTATTATGTTTATATTTTTGTCTTTGTAATTCATTGTTAGGCACATCAGCTGACATTAGTGTATCTGCAAAAAGTTACAATTGTTGCTATATTAGTGAGACTCTTTTGTTTTTACAGTACCAACCTGGACACCTGTAATCGTCTCTTGTTTTATTCAGAAATTTAAGGTATTCTCAAATGCACCACACAACAATAACATTGTTCTGATGATAATGAACAGCATCATGTTTACTAGGATGAATTACCATTGTCTAAAATACTTGAAAACATGGTGAAAAATGTTAAAACACTGTAGTATGCTTTGGCAATGTTTCGTAAATCTTGTAACTAGATTAATACTCCTGGGGAAATTACCTTTTGGGATTCTCTTGCTGTCGCATTGGTCCTTTTAAATGTGTCCCTGTGTATGTGTGACATCAGCAGATCTACCAGGTGTCAGTTGAAGAACTGCACTTATGAAACATTTTCAGTCCAGCAGTTACTTTACGATATAAGAAGAGATTTGATACGATACCTCACATTATGTTTGGACACGCTTAGTAGGTAGTGTCTGACACCATTTGAAGCTTGCTGCTGGGTGAGGTTTCTTTTTATTTATGACATATAGTACAGCTGATTTCTAGACAGTTCTGTACATACACAAATATTGAAACACACTTCACACTTTAAAAACACCCCCAAAAGACACAGATGACCTACAGAGCTGTCAAATTAAGTTGACCCACAGTGGATTTGAAGCTTTGTCCAAACAATCAGACTTGTTTCTTGCTATACCTGATACAAATGTGTGCAGAGCCCTTTGACCACCAAGGGATCCAATGCATGTTGTTTTTGCCTCAGACATAAATCGACACTTTTGGTGATTAAAGGCTTCAGGAGTGTCACAGTGCAGAACAATTGTCCCCGTGCCCTCAGAAATAAACTTGTTCTGTTTGCACAAGAGCAATGGCTAGTTGGTTCAGTTAGTTAGAGTGTGAATCTGTTATTGTTGAGGTTGTGGATTTGATGGGTTTGGTGCAGAGACTGTTTCCCGAAAATCTTCACAGAATCTCTCCTTGACATTGATGAGGTGATATGAAGGGTGGATATTCAGAAAGGGTTATATGCAGGAAGGGCAAAGGTTTCATTTTGCTGTTTATGATTGTACATCAGATATGGTATTTTATTGATTCACAGTTTATCATTTACAAGTTTGTTTTGGGGCTGCAAGGTGGAATCGTAGTTAGCACCATTGCCTTGCCTCGCAGCTAGAAGGTCAAAGGTTTTGTGTTTTTGAGGACATCCGGGATCTTTCGCATGTTCTCCCCGTGCAGCGTGGGTTCTCTCCGGCTTCCTCCCACACAGTCCAAAAACATGTTGAGGTTAATTGGTGATTCTAAATTGTCCATAGGTGTGAATGTGAGTGTGCTTGGTTGTCTGTCTCTAAGTGTAGCCCTGTGATAGACTGGTGACCTGTCCAGGGTGTCCCCTGCCTTCACCCTGAGTCAGCTGGGATAGACTCCAGCCCCCACACGACCCGAGTGAGGATTAAGCGGTGTATAGATAATGGATGGATGGATGGATGGATGGAAGTTTGTTTTGGTGTTGATGTTTTCAATGCAGTTAAACCCCTTTAATTGAAATATGTTTTGCAACGTTTTTGTAGTCTTCCTTTCTGCTGCATAGCAACATCATGATATTTTTCACTCAAGACTAAATGCACATTTATGTTTCGGAAAGTTACTCCTCGGTCGGTGCGTACTGTCCAAACCCATGTCAAGTTTCCAAACAGACACTGTCTATGCTGTGTGGCTGAAAACTGCAAGATGCGAAATGACATTTTCTAGTGTGCATATTTGGATCACAATTAAGTCCACTCTGTATTTTAAACACCAATTCCACTGACCAGGGCAGAACAGTGCTCGTTCCGTCCGACCCAATCTATATTTCAGAATGACATCATACTTTTATTTTGAAATCCAATGGAACAATTTGGGTGTGATGGTGTGTATACCTGGACGCTTGACAGAGTCATGGCCACCGCGCCGTGTGACGTCAGAAGCAGCGCAGTAACGTCAATAACAACCAGAGTCTCAGTCCAGTTCTGGTCTCCCTCATCAACTCCTCACTCACATGGTTTTAAGTATGAGCATGCCAGTGGAATCCCACAGGCACAGTGTAGTTCATCTCACACAGACCTTTTATTTACCTACGTCAGTTCTTGAAGACCTGCACTGCTTTGAGAAAACATTAGAATAAACAGAAGTCACAAACACTAGTTGAATTTCATTTAATTGCTGGAACAAACAGAAACATAGTGGCTGCAGAGTTTATGGTGCAACAGGAACTCAGATTAGATGGTATATGGAAGTATTTAAAAATCCCTAAATCCCACAGTCATCAGTTTAACATTATTATCAATATTAGGTCTTCAGTTGCTTAAAAATGAATTTATCACAAGTTTTCTTTGTCTCCATGCATAGCTTTCTAACTAATTAGACTGCTTTTAAATGCTTGT